TCGCCGTGGGCATCCTTGGTTGTCGTACCACGGACATAAACATAGTTGACTGATTCTCCAACGAGGAGAGCCTAGAGTAATATTTATTAGATAGAAACTCTTTAAGATAAAACAATTCGCTCACGATTGATCTTTGATCGCTGACGTCGACTCGATAATTATCTCCTCCTAGGACAGCATAAATATCGGGGATTGCTCTATCTCCAAGAGGCTGGATATCTGTTCACCTAGATTAGTGTTTTCTCCATCTAACTAAGACGCGGAGATACCGGGCGAGTGAGACGGATTTCCGTCTCTCGGAAACTCGGGACCGCTGGTGAGCGAGTCTCGGAAATAGAAATCATAACTTTCTCCTGCAAGTTTCCATCTGTTCTCGTATCGGCGCACCAGACGCCTCACTCTCCTATTTGAATCGAAGACGATATGTTCAGCACCCAATAGGACCCATCGAGTGTCCCCATTGACGACCTCCTCTGCGTAGACGACTATCGAGATAGATGAGTAGTTGGCGAAAACCTGCTCCTTGTCATTGAACACATTGAGTGTCAGCATCCCATCAAAATTGGACGGAACGTCTACGGTCTGCGTGACCGAATTGGACGGATAGATAGGGACACGCTGCTGCCCAAACGCGAATGGTTTGTATGGGGGCGTAGAACCAAAGCAAGAGAATGAGGCTTCGATCCCACTTCCCGGTATTCCAATTGGCTGTAGAAAATGTTTCAGAAAACGCACAATTGAAAGGCTTAGACATACCTCAATGGAAAATACTAATTTGACACCCTCAGGCTTGTCGTTCAGTAGGCGGAGCCTCGTCGTCACACTGGCGCCGAGCGAAGCAGGATCGGCGAAGGTGCAATTGTAGGTTGACAATGTAGGGTTATTGCCAACATACTTGACCAAGTCGCGCCAGTTCTTGACTTTCTCTGACAGGGCATGGGGAGTTGCGTCGGTGGTCGCAATTAGCGTATCATGGCGACCAATACTCTGCCTAGCTGTGAAATCAAGCGGGTCTGCCGTTGCGACGACTGGGATTATATATCATTCAATGATGACGACTCAAAATTATAGCGCCACACTTACTTTCACCGTCTTTCGAAGCGGTGAGCGTCTTGCTGCCAAACGGAGAGGCATCCTCCCAAACCTGAGGCCAGAGCAAAAGCTCGTTCTGGATTGCCCTCAGGCTGACAGTTGTAGTGACGTGCTCGGGGCAACCTTTCCCTCGCACGACCGCTTTCCCCCTGAGATAAATCGGGGTGGAGGCATCATCAGGATCTATATCGTGCGCGATGAACTGGTCGTAAGACTTGATCAAAGCATCCGGGTCAACGAGTGTATGACTAAGGGGAATAACATCTGGGCTCTGTAGGGCACTCAAACTGTCAGAAAGAGAGGGAAATTAGAATGAATGAACGCATACAAAGGCCGTTAAAGCATGCAGTCCATCCACGAGTTCCGCATTTAGAGCTGGACGTTGAGATAAATATATATGTGCTCAGAAAAGGGGAAAAGGTTTTGACTCACTGGAGCGGAGATATATGCCGTTGTCTAGCTCTGATCCAGCCATGGTGATTGAATCGTTGGAATGCTGTCGATAGGAAAAGTTGGGAGACCATTGCCTTCAGAGCCTTATATATGAGCGAAGCGGACCGTCGTCTTGCAAGAGAGGCACGCGAATGTCACGTCGGAAAGAGCATCGCACAATTGCGTCAACACATGATACGTTCATGTTTCCAGGCGCTATAAGCATACTCGCTCTAGATTCGACAGCATCCTGCCTGGAGCAGAGACAACAGCTATTCAGGTATAGGTTCGCAGGCTGTCGCTCGTTGACATCGGAGGGTTGAGTACTCCGCGATGTACAATGAGCTACCGCTGTTTTGTCCCTCCTGTTTCGAGATCGACATGGCGCTGATTGTCGGGCGTATATCAACCACGAGTTTCTTTCAGAGTTCAAGGCCATCGTTATGCTTCAACGAATTAGATGGAAATTATAGGTGACAGAGTGTTACACTCTGCCTCTTTTTGTGGTCGAATAAGTGGACACAGTCCTCCAGGTTTGATACTGTGATATGCCAATTAGAGTGTCATGAACAGCAACCCAACTCAGACGCACTTTGGTGAGTTGAGAAAAGCGCCGTTAGTAGTTTAGCTCGAGCGGCTCTGGTATTCTCGGAGTAGGTACCGCCTGGACTGAGACATCAGGTGAACCTTCGCTTGCTTGACAGCAAATCCCTCGTGCCAGACGGCGCCAATACTGCAAGTAGCTGATTCGTCCCAAAACTGCAGAGGATCACCAATTAGCTTGAAAAGGGCACTCTAACAGAATATATGGGACACTAACAGCATTCCGTGTGCGGTCGGGGTCGGAAACCCACACAAAGCCCCTTCCGACGTGATCTTTCCCTTGACTAAAGGGTCCTTGCATACAATGTGAGAGCGCCCTCCCGCCACAGTGGATGGTTTCTGAGCAAAGTAGTCCGCAGGCACTACCATCAGGCCATACCATGATTGTCCTCAGTTTGAGCGCCATCGACCAGCAAATAACCTCATTCGAGCTTGAACGTATTCCTGCCAATAATAAGTAGGTAATAGCACCAGCCAGGTCATCAAGGCCATCATTCTGAAGACAGAGTTCGTCAATCGCCTTCAACACCTTGAGCTTGCATGTTTGATCCCGGAGCGGAACGTGGACGCACGTGGCGTCACTCGACTGGGCGTTTGACCTGGACTATTGAATTATGGCCGTTACGGTGGTTAATTGCTCAGAGACACAGACGCGTTGATTTTTAGGTCGACAGCAGTCTGATTGAGAAACAAGACTATTCACGGGCGAACGGTCATGCGCGGAAGATACATTATTGTTGGCCAGGCGCCCTCGATGCTCAGGCAGCCTCATAATGATGAGGCTAGTACTAGTAGCTGTCAGTCCTCCGCTCCTCTATGATGCCCCTGTCGATACATGATAGTGACGCGCTTTCTATCCCAACCAATTCAAGCTCTTGTTCTCCAGAATTTTATATCGTATGCATCCAGGCGGACGGAGCGCTCATGCCGAAGTCCTGCATTCTCCCGCACGTGCATCATGCGCAAGTGCGCTTTTAAGGTGGGGAATGTAGGAATCACTGCTGTCACACAGTAAGTCTACATAACCTGAAACCGCATCCAGGCCCTGGGGAGGAGGCGGCACCTGGAAAGTCCGCGTTCCACGTCGATCGAACGGGTCAGCTGGATCGCTCACATCGGCTGTCTCCGTCTTGTTCCTGGAGCTCTGTCCGTGTGCTGGTACGTCGTAACGCAAATGTTTAGACACGCTCGTAGTTTGGAGGACTATTTGTTACCTGTATCCGATGCCTCAGGGAGGGAGATAATACGGGAAGAAGTCCCCTCGCAGCACTGTGGAGAAATCGGGTCTGCGAATCACGATTGGACTACATTCAAATGACCTATTCGATCAAGCCTGACACTTTCGCGGCAGCAGATTCGGCGCACAGCTCGCCGCTCTACATGCCACTAAGTTCTAGGTAGGGAAGGCTGCCAACGCCCCGAATTGAGCTTCAAGTTCTTCAAAAGGTTTCCTCGACCGTGGTCCAGGGCATTCTGGCAATTGCAACGTTGATGCACCGCCTCTCAGGGGGAAATGTATTGGAGGCTAGAGCAATGGTGAGGCCGGCTCTTAGCTAGTTCCGTGGCATGCTGCACTATGATTTCCTCGGATCTCCACTGAGGATCACAGAGTAGCAATAGGGATGCATGTCCAACCACAGCCGTACTAGTGCCATTCTTCTGTCAGGCTATTTTTATAGAAGCTACGCACAAGTCGTGATATTAGCCAATGTTCCACGACTCACCTGAAGACAGTGGCGTGAAATTGCGCCTTCGGCCTCCCTCTCTAGAGTCCGAGGTTTGGGTACGAGACCAAGTCCGAGGGAGCGCCAAGCGGACTGCGGCTCGCAAGCCTGCGACTGGCCACGGCCGCGCCGTCGTCAAAGACTTGAAGGTGGAATGAGTGGGCTGCATACGCCCAGCGCATATTCGCTGCCATCCGGGGCTGGATCTCGCGACCGTTAGGCGCTGCGCCGACTCTACACGTGTCGAACGTCGGGGGCTGAGCGCTGATCTCTGGCATGCTGAACGGACCCTCAGTGGAGAGCGTGGGGGGCTGGTCTCCTAGCCTTTCAGTGCCGATAGGAGCCATGAGGGCCGTGTGCACAGCGACTGAGCTACAGCTGCCTTCTGCGCCTGTCGGACGCGTGCGGTCTGCCAAGTGCTCTGGGCAGCGCCTGCAGTGAGGGAGGGAAGCTTGGTCCACGTAGGTCGTCGCGGGGTCACGAAGGTGTCTTGGGTGTTCGTCAAACGGCAGGGCGTGACGAGAGTGTGATGCGCTTCGAGACGGGAGCAGACGTCTGCGGGCGCAGAGCCGAGTCGGCAAGAGGTGCGCACGCAGTTCGTGGGTCGCATCTACACCACTCACGATTTGTAACGCCTTTGCCGATCTATCCTCCTCCTCCACGACCGTCATCTTCCGGACTTAAAGCATGCTCGCCGACACAGCAAGCCACCGTGTCCGTGAGCTACGAATCCCGTGTGAATGTACAATGCAAGGAAACTCTCGAGAGATCTGCGTGCGCGTCCGTCCAGGTCCCGTTTCCAGGCGTCTGCCCGTCGGGCTGCGAGTCGGACGGAGGATCAGACATGGCTCACCTCGCCCCGACGATGCAGCCGGAGCGTTTCTGCGACATGTGGCGTGACGACTCAAAGGCCGAGCAAGGAGAGATGCTAGCCGCGCACAAGCTCGCGCGAGAGACGTGCTACGAGGGATCGAACGCGCCGAGCCTCTTTCAACCCACCGTCTTGTCCCCCTCCCGTATAGAACGGAAAGGGAACAAAACCGCCCTCAAGCCACTCTTTGATAAGAGCATGCCGAACAAGGATATCGGGTGCAGTACCTTGTAACCGTTGTCCGAGGCACTTTCAAAAAGTTTGACATCCCCTAGAGACAATCTCGAAGCGCGTAGGGACTGAGTCATCTGTAAGCTGTGTGACTTCGCCGATGCATAGTGTCGCCCAGGGCTAAGTGGTGCTCAGTGTTGATGGTGTTAGGAGCAGAAGCTAAAGAGTCGCTCGGGAGTGTTCGAGCAGCTGGATATTCTTGAGAGATGCATTTTGTCGTGAAAGGAACAAAAGTCATAGTGACCACAGCGGCAGACGGGCCCGAACAGATGGACGCAGGTGAATGCAGGTGAGAACCAGTCCGACAACAGAGATCGGAAGCGCCGAACAGCTTGAGGTATATGTATCAATGATGTTCCAGTGGGCACGCAGCATGACTGGCGACAGCGGACTCGGAAAGCTACAGAGAAGGGAGAGGGAGAGCAGCTTTACAATCACGACTAGCCCCGGATACGAGGAAGCGATGCCCCAAATCGTCAGAGGCAATAGCGCAGTTCCACATTCGACACAACCAACCCCCAAAAAGCAGCGACACACACCTGTATAAATCTGTTCATATGTACATACGATCTGTCCCTCCAGTTCCAGATTACCCAGTACATCGTCAGTATCATAAACCGGAGCAGAGTATCACCGTACCAGCGGCCCATAGCGTACCACTGCACACACCTATCCCACGCCATCGCCTCACGACCGCGACTGCGTTCCCTTCCGCCTCTCCGGGTGGTGGAAATACGTGCTGTACCGCTTCCCTGGCGACGTCCCTGCCACGCGCTCTCTTCCACTGCTCGTGCTCCCCACGCTCTCCTCCACGCCCTGCGCGGACGCCACCGAGCCGGCCAGCGCACCCCCAGGCACAATCCCGTCCGCGTCCTCGTTCACGATGTCGTCCGAGTCGCTGTCACCCTCCAACCAATCGTCTTCCTCCGGAAGGACGATCACCCCCGAGCCGTGGTCGAAACTCAATCGGTGATGGAGTGGCGTCGTGGGCGCCCCGGTGGGACGACGCGGGTGGACGTCTTGCCACGGGTTTAGGATCGCCTCCTCAGCCGCAGCGGCCGCGTCGGCAGGCTCTGTGCTGCCGCCCGGGCTAGCATTTGGCTGTTTGCGGCCTTCTCCCTGCACGCTAGGGCGCTTCCGCAGTGTCACCACGACAGCCGGATTAGCTTCCTGAGGACTTGCACTACTGCTTGTCTCGGCGCCGTTGGCAGTGCTGTCTTGCCTCTTGCGCTGAGGAAGCCAAGGCGACGGAAGGACACCATTCAGGGCTGGATGCCCGTATCTTCGCTTCCCAGTGCTATTGAGGGCAAACTCGGTCAGGTATGTGCTGCTGGCGAGATATATGTACTCACTTCAGAACGCCGCTATACCAATTCGCCATCGGGGGCTGCGACTGTAGGACACGCGTGAAGAAGTGATAGAGAGTACCTAGAGCAGCCACCCACATAGTCTGTGCGCTCGTCTTCAGGTGCAACATATAATGTCTCGTCGTTCTGCGCGTATCGCCGGCGATTCAAGTTGCTGCGACGCAGGGTAAGGTGACGAGACCGCCATAGGAGGAGAACGCGCACCTTTGCGACCACGAAACAGGGTGACCAGCCCTCAACCGCACAACATCTGCGGTATCTTCTCCTCTCTGAACTTCGAAAACCGAGCTCAGGTTGACAAATTCGCTCAAAGATTGGAAAGTCTTGTTAGTGTACCAGGACCAGAGCAGAGTTCCGGCAAGAAGCGGAGCCAAGAGCGTAGCTAGCACGTAAGACCTCTTCAATATGAAAATGCCCATCATGAAAACAATGAATATAATAACGCCCCAAATAAGACGGGCGAATGTGATTGGCCACGCTTGTCCATGGGATTCGTACGGCTTGTAAAACACTGAGAGGCATTAGATACGTCAATGAATGCACAGTCGCATGATCGGTTTGACGTACATACCGAAGAGCAGCTTGTATTTGTAGACAACGTATGCGACCCCAAAGTACAAGGCCCCAAATAGCAGGATGAGAGGTTGAATAACACTGTACAGGAGGGTGATGACGAAAATCAAAATGGCCTGGGGGTACACAACGCCATAATTAATCATGGGCGGTGCGTTAAGCTCCGCGAAGTCTGAGCCTTGCATGTCAGTAATAATCATTCGTGCCGTCATTGAAATTGCTCTTACCTCGGGGCGTTCGTGTCACGAACATGCGGTACACAAAACGAGGAATGAGGATCCCCAGACTAAGTAACTGCAGAGGCATGATACCAAGGCCTGGCACGATCTCAGGAAACTGTCACGGAAAATGATTTAGTAGCATACCTTGCAATATCACGTATGACACGAAGAAATGTCTACCCCTATTCTCAGCACATACTACTGAGGCTGAATAGAATGGTGGCACACCTAGCCTTTCCAGCGGCGAGCGCATCAGCTAGCTTCTCCACCACTTTTGCAGGCGAATTGGCAAAGTCGCGAACGAGTTGCCAATATGTACTAGCCACTAGAAAGATGAAGACGACGTTGACGAGCAGAAACAGGAAATATCTACATAGTACAACAAAGTTCTCAGTATTCGATACAGGTGTACGTGCGAAAAATACCCGTACTTTCTGAGTAGAGAATATTCAATCCAGCTCCGGGCAGGGTATCCTTGTACATAAGTGAGTGCTACAGGAAAGGTTGAGTGCACGCACATATATTTGAAGAAAAGATCATCTCACCTTCTAAGAGGAAGGGGAGCAATGCATTCAGGGTCACGATAGCAACCGAAGGCAGCGAATTCTGCACGATCGCACGAATTTGCTCATTCGCATCAATCAGATCACCTAGCCAAGGCATAGTCTTCTTAATCTCCTTGTAACTCAACAGACTCGCCAAAGCAGAGGTCGGAATGAGCCAGAAGAAAAGCAACAAACACATGGCGCCAAAAACCATCCACTCTCGCATCCGAAGCGTCGCTGGCGAGTGGGTGATGTTCGACCAGACGATGTCGCGAGGCTCTGGGGCCAAATGTGTGATACACTGGTTTGGGATAGGAGCATGTGCGACTTGTGCAGCTATTTGCTTGACGGAAGACGTATCAGCATTGAAGACACGACACTGTCGGAAACATCACCCACAGCACTAGACATTTCTTCAAAGGTTACGAAAGCGACGTGTGTCGCTTTGAATCGACCGTTCCCCCGCTTTTTCTTGACTAGTTCGTCTGCTTCACGGAACTCCTTCTCAAGGTATTCCAATGTGTCAACTTTGGACTTGAACCAGCCGGGGCGCATAGTCGGCCTTTTCTTGTCAGGTAAGATGAACTGTTGAGGAGACGCTTCGAGATCCGCATCGTCGACATCTACGAGGCGGTGTTCATCCCGAGCTGACGGCCTCTGTACGTCAATAGTGCTCGGATTTCCAATATACTTGACCCAAGCGGATTCCAACTTCAGCAAGGCCGCCGTCCGTTTGTCCAATAGCTGCTTCATAGAGCCCACCTCCCTGCAAATGCTGACACTCTCAACGCAAAGTGATAAGTTTTCAAAATACTCAGCCAGTGCGCGTTCCCCGCGCAAATGGCTCGGAAGATGTGTCACCATGACAGTTCGTGCCGAAATAGAATGCACGAGTTCCAGTGAGAAGAGCTGACGAGACCGTACGAACTTCTTGTAGTTCTTGTTAATGAAATACAACGCAAAGAGCGTGAACAGATATGTGAAAAGCAGATGGACAGACAGATAGGAGTTTGCGTCGCTGACAAGGTCCAACCAATCTCGACCAGTTGAATTAGCTGGTGGTACAAGTGTTTGCCAGTCCGGATCACTGTCTCCACTCCCGTCACCGATGTCGATGTTGTTCTTGAACATCTCATCAGTCTCACAAGACAGGACAGACGATCAGGACCAACCTTGAGATTCAGCGGCATGAGCATGGCCACTGCAAAAATAGAGCAAGTGGAGAACAGCCAGAACGACATCTTGAAAAAGTTCAGGAGCTATAGACATATCAGAAGCTGACGCGCCGGCAGTTTTCAGGAACACCCACTACTGCCGCATCGAGTCCTACAATTTGAAGTACAGAAAACTCCGACGTTCGAATTGTTGGGAATATCCATCCAAAGAACGCTTGGTGAGCGTGTGCCTCATGGGGGGAGAATCCTGTTCGAATCAAATCGATAAAATATCGAAGATCTTGCAATTCCTTCTTACCTTTGAGTTTTGTTCGGGGCGCGAACTGCAGTGGCCATCGTGTGCGACAGTAAGAGAATACGAGGAACGAAATGAGCCCAATTCCAGTCGAAAGCAGAAGTTGTGTGGTGAACCAAGGCCCTTCAAATCTTTCTGTAAAACACGTTCAGTTGGAACGAGGAAAAATTGCAAAGCCATGGTGACATACGGGTGGGCGGCGTCCCGGGAGGCAAGCCTGGTTCATTGTCGTCTAAGTCTGCCAGTATGCCGGCCAATGGGTGTTGCATACCGACTCAAAAGCATACAACGAGTGCAGGATATAATTACGCAGCCGCGGCGTTACGTCGTAGCAGCAGGAAAGTGTGAAGAACGCTACGATGTCAAAGGAGCGAGTGGAAGGCGGCGCATCTGCGAGTATGTGTGCGCGGAACTCGCAGTCTCGGTGGAGCCACAAGTTCGAGCATGGGAAAGATCACGTGCGCGCGACAGTCATTTGCGCGTCGCGACGCGTCCACGGTCCACGACTCCACCCACTTCAGTGAGAGCCTCAGCGGCGATGTGCGCCCAATCGTTGACGGTAACCTTTGCCATCACGGACGACCTCTAGGGCATAACCAGGTGCATACTTCATTATGCACCTCATCCATTAATAATAAATGATCCTCAAAGTTCTATAGAATACCTGTGCACTTCATAACATGACCACAAGCCATGGGGTCACTGCGTGAGATCTCCAGAGAAGACGGAATGCCTTCGTAGATGACTATGCAAGACATGTGCCGGGAAATACCAGCTCATTGAACCAATAGTTAGTCCTCAATAACGATAACGTCGCCATCTACTCGAACCCCTGGACTCGCATCAGAGCTGCTGCCCCCACTTTTCCTCTTCCTGGTAGGCCTCGAAGTCGGTTCATCGTCATCTATAGTCAACACATCACTAGCGCCGCCCGAAGTAGTTTGCCCTCGCTTCCGCTTAGCACCTGCGCGCGATCTGCGAGTGCCCCCCAATACATCGTCATCTGAATCATCTACGATGGTGATTGCATGTCTCTCCGTGTTCCCAGCCGCACTAGATGAAGACGGTCGTGTGGACGCGGAGGTTGATGCGGGTAACTCCGGGGTTTTGGCCTTGCCTTTGCCTTTGGCAGATCCATTTGGGGCAGGTGGCCGCGCATATAGTTCTGTCCAATTTCGCGCCGTACGATCGTGCTGGGTTCGGTTGCGTACATACTCAGTGGCTATTGATGGCACTATAAATAGCAATTAACTGGAATCCAATGGCAGAAAATTTAACGTAGATGATACCCAGGGGATCTTCTGCACAATCCATTCAATAATGAGATAATCCAGCTTATGATGTGGGAAATTACGAACTAGGATTTGGGTCTGTAAGCAGGGATGAAAGCGAGAGGACAACTTTGAATAATGAAAGTGCAGGAGACCAATTGCTCTTTAAGATGTCAATACAAATGTTTCCTCGTTCATTGATATTCATGTGGTATATTCTAGGGGAGGTAGCATTAGATTATTGTGCAATATAAAGAATAGGAAGATCAATCCTGACCGTGTTTTAAACGTGACCTTGGGTGCAGAGAAGCTGGACAATAAAATTAGACTACAAATTCTGATCATCGTAGTATGCTGACGCTCACGGATAATCATGACCAAGGTTAATATCTGCGCTGAACACGCCACCCTCATAACAGCTGCCTTCAGGGCCAGGAATAGTAGCAGTCCATTTGAAGAGATTGTCGTCCGAAGGCGCGAGTCCAATCGTGCCAAGGTCTTCTTTCTTCAGGTCAGCAATTTCACGATGAATACGCTTTAAGGTGGTCTACAGCGAAGAAGTTAGTATTCAAATATTTGCACCATACTCAACGTACTGAGGTAGAGAGAGGAGGAGCCATAGCGTTATATACAAGCTAGTATGTCACAAGTCGGTGCAAGGAGCGAGGAGGCAGGAGAGAAGTGTGGCGTGGCGACCCAATAGCGACCGATAGCTGAGCGCTGAATGCAAGGGCCGAGTGTAGCACCAGAAATGGATACACAGATGCCATATTTGGAGTAAGCTAACTTTGACTAAAATCTGCCACTTGGCCGAAAACGGGTTATCTCGCATAGATAAGGTGCTATCTGGCCGAGTCATCGGGCTGACCGCTTCAAAAGCATTGCACTCCCGACTTGGTCAGTCGCCGATTGTCTGTCTGTTATACCTCCACACTTTCAGAACTACAATGATCCCTCGAATATCCGACGTCACTTCAGTGTAACTATTATCATGTTTGGTGGGCGCAAAGCAGAAAGCCCGCGGGTCCCCAGCCCCTGGGATCCATTCCTTCCTTCGCCACCCAGCGAGGAAGTCTGCAAACGGTCCCGCAAAGGAGTGCCGAAGCTAGTTCCAGAGGTTGAAGAGGTACGATTTTTAGCCTGCTAGTCCATCTTCCGTCTGAGAAGTCCTTCAGGGCAATGTAGAGTACAAGCTCCGGTTGACCCATATCACTCCTGCTCGTTTCGCTCGACTTGTCACGCAGCTCAAATGGAGACTCCTAGAAGGCGGGGGTCAGGCTTACTACGAGCTTGGCGTTGCAGACTCTGGCGCTCTTATCGGCCTGTCTCGCGATGACCTTGAGGAATCCCTCGAGACGCTTGAAATGATGGCAGGTGAAATCGGAGCCTCGGTCATCGTGGTGAAGGAAATTGAGGTTCCTCCTGTCATTTCTGCCATGGCAGATGAAGCGCAGAAGTATTTAGATCCGAACACAGGAGAATGGACGAGAAAGATGAAGAGGAAGCTGGTATACACTGGCGACGAGAGCTCTCTGACTACGACCGAGACCGAGACCGAGCTGTCTACCACGGATTGGACAGACAATGATGACGGCTTGTCGTCAACGTCTGGACTTATAACCCCCGCAGACTCTTTACGTGCGTCTCCTTATCCTGTGAACAGCCGACCTTTTGCCCATCGCGTCTCCTCTAATCCCAATCGACCCAATGTCCAGTCTTCGCCGTTTATCGCCCCTTTGGATGATGATCTGGCGCTGTTCTCCATGGAGCCCGAGCCGGCTTTCCCCTCAGAATCGGAGGACGGAGGAGCTGAGGACGAGGATGCTTCCATTCCCTCGATCGCAATTAATTTGGAGATTGCGTCTGTTTACAAGCCCAGACCCATCCGAAATCGTGGGCATACTGTGCCCAATAGCTTTGTCAACGGTGCTATTCCTCTGTACGGTCGGCACGCTCGTAGACAGAAGTTCAGGGAGAAGGAGAAGAAAGTTCAGCCGTGGCACAAAACAGCCGTCCAGATTGAAACCCCTTCTGTTGATGCCCCCGGCACCATGGCGTCCATCCCAGTCAAGCAAGAGAGAGCTCGCAGTCGCCAGCTTGCTCGCGACAAACACAGAGAAGAGAAACGGAGAGTTTTCCTGGCGAAGAGCGGCTCCATTGCTGACGGTGATGTATTGTCCACAACCGTACCTTCTCCGTTCACAAACCGACCTGCAGTGGGTGACTCGGGTGTCACGGACCTCGTGTCTGGTCTTGGAGCCTTCCATGTTATTGTTGACTCCACCACTTCGACAGCGGCCGCAGGAGCGTATCCTCGAGGCGACGTCGCCGCGCCGGTAGATCTGGCTGAAGCCGACGCCCAGCAAGAGAAGATTGATATTGAAGATCGAGAGCCACGACTCATAGTTGAGGCCTTGGTCGTGAGGAAATTGTCTATTGAAGAAGCGTGTTTGGACTTTGGGGGATTCCAGCTTGTTTCTGTCTGAGATTACGATGATGGTATGATTGATATCCTATTTCCAGGAGACTCGCCGCATCATCCCGGATTTTGCGCTTGCATATGCATGTATTTTACTACCCTGTATGCCATCTAACTGGCCGTATAATTTCTTCGGCTGCACTTATTGCACTGTGCGGTTCTAGGACTTCACGCGTTGGTTTACTTTCAACTCTTGACGCAAACAATGTCTTGGTCTTTGATGGCTGACTAATTAGTGGCCTTGGCTGTGGTGACTGATATGGCAAATTCCGCTGCTGCAAGGCCTGTTCAACTACAACCATCCTCCTGTGCATTCCACGAATTCACGATTTATCCAACTTGCTTCACGCATATGATTTCCTCCTGTTGAGCGTGTGGTCGTGGCTTTGTTAAACATGACATACACAACTGATAGTCGGGGCGACCCACTGTTGCCGCAAACAACGCATCTAACTTTAGGGCAACGTCATGAATCCGTTGTCGCCCTTTTCTACTTCCGATTGTATGCTATGCCTATCTTTCATCTGCCCAAAATGATGCCAGCATGCTAAGACTCGAAATCATCCATCAACTGGAACCCTGCATCATCGCGACTTCTCCAGTTACAATTCTGACTCCAGCCTCACTCGGGTGCATGATGCGAATGACGGATGAAGAAGTCCGCTCGACCATCGCCATTCTCTGTGCATATGAGTGATGCCACGAGCGAGGGTGAGGGAGAGGGAGCCCAGTAGTAAGAGGGTGGGTCCCATTCCAACGCTCCTTTATTCGCGCTGGCAGACAAGTCAGGGTGTCCGCTTTCCACGAGAGCGTTTGCATCAGTTGCTGCTCAAACGATGAATTACAGACGCCAATTGTAAGTGCAATTCTATGTATGATTGTTACGATCAGTGCTAGAACACTACCTGAGCCGCTGTAATGTAGGGAGCACCATGATACCGCCAGGATCAAGTAGGATTGCCCCCACAAGGAGACCTATCCCCATCAAGGTCGTACACGACTGTCGCCTTATTCACTATACATCCGATAGCAGCCCATTTATATCAGGACGTTGGATAACCCCGTAGGTTTATGGCCTGGCCGCCGAGTGCTGGATTCTCAGACAACGCATGTAAAGGACCCCAAGGCTCAAACTCCCCTCGTGCAAGCCTTGTATAATTGGTAGTCGTCCTTCTGACGCACGCACGTCTACTAGCAGACAGCCTACTTATCTCCACCCCCGCCTCGGGGCTCCGATGTATCGGGGGGTACGCCGCAGTGTTTGGTATTTGGGTGGGGTTCAATGCATGCTGTCACCCAGCACCGAGTCAAAGTTGTGCACTAGAACGGCAGTGTTGCACGCATGCGGCGCGCCCATTCGTTTGGTGCGTTCCCATATCGCATCTGCCGAGGAACGTTGAACCTCGATACTTTCTCTGATTGAACCTTGAGATGATGATCGTGCATCGTCGTGATGGAAAGCAACATGACTCGTCATGTGGCTCTGGGCTGAAAAGCAGAGTGAGATCGACCGACTCGGACTGAGTGCAAACGATGTGTATCGTACTGACTCGCTATGATGCGATTTGACGACTTGGTGGCGATGCCCACTTGCAAGGCTCAGTGCCCAATGATGGGGAAGTCTGATGGAAGCCTCGAGTCGGACTTCTCAGAGGCTGGGACGCGCTCATGCTAGGTAGCGCTCACGTTCAGCGCACCAACGCCGATTCCTTCAATCCGAAAGAATTTTGCTGAGCGAGACATGAGCCACGATGCAATTGGCATTAAACCAGAACCGCTGACCCTATCTCCGCACTCGTTCTCCAAAATCTGATGAGTCTGATCCAAGATCTATCGATGGTGCGCTCCTTTTGCCTATGAGAGCAAGGACTTACCGAGACCATCTAGTTCGAGAACACCATTTCTGGCAGTTCTACAGACTAGCATGACGAATTGGGGACCCCACATGACACGTTTTCCGCTCTCCTCATTCACTTTCACACTCTAGTGCAAAAGGCAGAACATCAGAACTTATGCCTAGACTTAGTACGGCCAGTCCCTGGACCACATTCTCGGTGAATGTTTTTGTAAAAGAGCCAGACATGTGCCAAGGGCCGGTACTTGCAGAGTCACACGTATGTCCATTGTCCAAGATTCCTTGTCATCACTTCTAGCTTATATTCGCATAGAACCATACGCTGGCGTCTGCTGGATCCGACTAGACCGTCGAGTACAAGCATTGGTAAGAATTTGATTGCCCGATGCACTCAGGGATTCTAGTTCAGGAATGCCAAGTTGTACTACTACCAATTTTGTAAGTATTCTTTGACGTATTTTATTCCTCTCCACTCTATCCTTAGGTTCTAAATCAGGTTCTGCTTTAGCTGTACTATATGGGCATTTCTTCGTCCATTGCAACGAGGCTTGTAGCTTTCGCCTTTTGGATTCATTAATTCTTCGCTCTATTCAGCGTCTATGCGCACTGTGATGCCCGAAGTTTGACCATTTCCATTTGCTCTCTACTTTGCAGCACTTATCTGAGTCAGGTGCGAAGGGTGCTCGTCAGAAAATGTTCAATTTCAAACCCTATCAGACATGCTTCTCATATGGATGTCCCGCAGAAACTCCTCTTCCGACACCCTCGTAGCGCTCGTCAAACAGAAGGGCACCTGCCTCGTCTTCATCCTGTTTCTCCGCGAGTCTGCCTACCACTGCACCTGCGTAACATGTCCCCGCCATCTACACAATATTTTCCCGTGGCCCGAGGCGACCACGACGACCCCTCCGAGAAGTTCCTCGCGCACGACGGCGGTCCATGCGCGTGTGGACGCTATCGTACCTCGACCTGGCGTCGCTCCTGGCCCTGGCTCGCGGCCGCCGCCATGTTCTCTGTCGTCGCTCCCGCC